TACTTGGTTATTCTTAGTTTATTTTCAACTTTATAGTGATAATTTTGTTTGGAAGTGGTGGAATTCGCCAACCCTAAATCAGGCGAGCAACATATTACCATAACGGCTCTCTCTGTATGCATTGTTGTGAAGTATTTTGAAGCGGAGACAGACGTCCTTCCGTTCCACTAGCAGTTTATAGGGCGCACAAGTAGTAGGAGCGAATAGTGGAACAAACATCAAAACTAAGTGCGAGATGAAAACATTTAAACGACTCTGGAAGGGTGGACGATACTAAAGATTCTAGCACTAACAACAAAAATCACGCGTGATTTTAATCTTGGTGTCTAGTGTCTCTTTCAAGGGTGAGGATATTGCCATTTCTCGCCTACAATGTCTCTCTGAGTCGAATAACAGGTGTGAATCAGCAGAAACGAGTAGACGAATGGGGTAGTGCTAAATTTTTCGTCATGCACATCTCTTGCATATCATTAACGTTATATCAACCAAAGTTCCCGTTAGTATTTTCCCCTTTGAATCAAATAGCAAAACCTACTGGATAAATCGTAAAAGGAGGGGGTTATACTCTCAAAACTTCAGAAAGGCCTAGAAATTGGAGAATATGCTTAAAGTAAGTCCAAGGTTCACAAGTTCCTCCACCTCCCCCCTCGGCAATCAGAACCCTGAGGTTCAAAGTAGTGTTGTTCAGACAAATCTTTGATCCTTTAACAGCAACACTGCCGATAAGCATTCGTTGTTTATGTTGTTTTTCTTCTGTCACATACATATTTATAGGTCTAACCTGCCCAGTCGAATTTTTGTGTGCATTCTGACGAGCGATTTTTTTTTCGTTTTAATCTTCTTGTTTTCCTATTTTGATTCTCTCTGTTTCATCTTGCTCAGTCAGGTGCCTCGATAGCGCTCTATTTGTTTTTTTGCCAAAAGTTTGCCACCTGAATGTCAAAAACTTGCTGAACGGATAGGCTTAAAGCGATACATTTGTAAGAAAAAATTATATTCTGAGGGTAAATTCTTGTTTGTCGTCGGTGCAGTTCTTCGAATTTCGATTTAATCTATTGATTGTGGCGTCGCTTTGCTTTGCTGTTTACTCAAATGAACCTCGTGACTCGCCGTTGTTATTCTTTGCTCATGTCAACTAACATTTAGTTGCAAGAATCAAAAATGTTCACTCCTGAACAAATCAACCCCTTCTATGCTGCCTTATTGATTATTGGAGGTATCATTGGATATGTTAAAGCTGGTAAGTTTCTATATCTTGTTTACACCAATAATTGTGATTTTAATTAGTTACAGCTATCTCTCATATGTGATTGCCAGGATTTCTGTAAGCAAACACTAAACCAAATCTTTGAATTCACACAAAATAGCCAGAAACATAGATTCGTCACCATTTCTTTAGACGAGTTCCATAACAAATATAGGTGGAGCTAGAAACAAGAAAACCGTTATAAATTATGTTTTTCAATGATAAGTATTTACCCAGCTGAGATGTTTACGTAGCTTTGCGGAGCACCCTGCGTTCTGCGATGTAAGCATGTGTTATGCGATCATGTAAACACAAATTGGATTATGGATGATCGAGAAAGCAGATTCCATAACTCAGTTGGGAGCAGCAGGTGTTGGATTCACGGCGTGCCTTTATTGTAGAAAGGGGGATATGCTCTAGCTGATAGTTAGAAAGGATACGGTATTGGCGGCGAATTCTGTTCATTGAATGATAATAACTTTTTTCAGTAATGATAGGAGTGGAATCGCATGTGAGGCCTTGATAAAAAAAAATTTAGTTCACTAAAGATAATTAGAACACTTATTTGCAATTTTATAACCCATTCTTGCAATCTAACGAAATCTAGGTGAGAAAGGTGCCCCAAGGATTTAGGGAGGGGCAAAGAGCCAGTATTTGAAATAGCTGCCATTTCCGGGTGGTTCTGATCATCGATCTACTGGAAGAGGAATTGTTACTCTTTTTTGGAACTCGTTTTCAATTCATTCATAATTTTAAGGGAATAAGCTTTCAAAATCATTAACGGCCTTTCACCAATTGCATAAATCTTTCACGAAATTTCAATTTTGTGAAGTTTTTCAGGTTCAACTCCATCGTTGATCTCTGGTGCTGGTTGCGGAGTTCTTGTGGCTGCTTTTACCTTCCTAGATCTTCCCCTCCGAGCTCTTGGCGTGACTGGTAAATTTTTAGCTGAAGTTTGTGATGCTGTTAACCAAATGGTTGATTGAGGCTAAAACGATGTACGAGGGCTGTAAAGGCTATTTTACGCAGTTTGGGACATTGGCCTACTTTGTAAAAAATTGTGATAGTGCTTCTAATAAGAATGTTTAGCAATTGCTGCATTAATGGCGTATATCATGGGTACGCGTTACGCCTATACACGCAAACCCATCTCCGGAATCGTTGCCGCAGCAAGGTCCTTTTTTTGTTAGTTTCTTAACTTACCAAATTTTACTTAAAAAACTTTTCAGCATTCTCACTCTGCTCGTCCAGCTCAACAACATA